TCTCGTGCTCTCTATCTCTCGTTCTCTCTCTCTCTCAAATAAATAAATAAAATCTTAAAAAAAAAAAAAAGACTTTATTTCTAAGTCATCTCTACACCCAGTGTGGGGCTCAAACATACAACCCTGAGATCAGGAGTCACATGCTCTACTGACTGAGCCAGCCAGGCGCCCCTGGAAATTTATTTTATTTTATTACTTTTTTAAAATATATTTATTTACTTATTCAAGAGAGAGAGGGAGGGTGAGAGAGAGAATCTGAATCAAACTCTGAGCTAAAGCGCAGAGCCCAGCGCAGGACTCAATCTCACGACCCTGAGATCATGATCTGAGCCGAAACCAAGAGTTGGATGCTCAACTGACTGAACCATCCAGGTGCCCCTGGAAGTTTATTTTAAACAAAAAAATTGACTGAACCCTCAACTGCTTTTATGGCTTTATAGGATAAAATCAATAATAAAAAAAATTTTTTAAAACACAACAGAGATGGAAACGATGCCGTGAACAAAGCAGGAAATGAGGCCAGACTAGCTGGCTGTGTGTGGGGGCCCTACATTCAGGGTCTTGCACCTTCTGGGGAATGTTGGGTTGAGAGCACTAGAGTAAAAACAAAGAAAAAAAGCAGGGTGGTGTTCTGGAGATATGCCTACCACAATGGACAGACTCATCAAATTCAACAAAGAAATCCCAGCCTGAGTGCTCTTAGACCCTGTAGCCATGGACACCAATCAGAAGTAGGAATCAGGGCACCTGGGTGGCTCAGATGGTTAAGCATCTGCCTCTGCCTTCAGCTCAAGTCATGATCCCAGAGTCCTGGGATCGAGTCCCGCATCGGGCTCCCTGCTCAGTGGGGAGCCTGCTTCTCCCTCTGCTTCTCTCTCTCTCTATCTGTCTCTCATGAATAAATAAATAAAATCTTAAAAAAAAAAAAAAAAAAGAAGTAGGAATCAGAGAACATCCCAATGAAGTGGCTGAGGCCTGCCTGGAGGAGGAGTGCCCTGACATGCTCAGAGGGATCACCTACTACCTGGACTAAGTGTTCAGTGCTTCCTATGTTCTACTCACCAGCAATGAGCAAGAGAAGAGCCAAGGAACCTTGAGAAGAGGAGACATGGCAGGTTGAAGACCCAGTAGAAGAGAAAGAGGGCTTAGAAGTATGGAATGGTATTCCTCAGAATCCTACTTAACCCACTAAAAATAATTCTCAAAAGCTCTGGGTTCAGGACGAAGATAAGAACAGGGAGGGACATTGCTGGCTCACTCCTGAGCCTCAAGGAAGGTGCCTAAGTTCAGATTCTTTCCTTATCTTGAGCTTCCTAGGGAGAAACTGGCCTGGGTAAGCCAGTTTCTCTGGGCATGGACCTTTGCTTCTCTCTCTCATTTGTAGTTTTTCTCATGCCGAATTGGGTGCACAATATGTGAAAATACTGTCTTTGACACTTGGTCATGGAAGAAAACCCAAATAACTCAGAAGGAAATAATTCAGCCAGTGATATTTCAAAGAAACTTCGGGCCCCTTGAACAAATTTGAAAAACCATGTGACAGAAGAAGAATTTCAGATCAATAAGGAAACCCAAAGTCCACAGGAACAGGCCAGGCTAAGGCAGACTGGAATGTGAGACCCCGCCCCACCACGGCAGGGGAGTTGGGTTGGGGGTGGGCAGGGGGAGGGAACCTCAGGAGACCCCAGTCCTGGCCAGCTGCGGGGGAAGGGGAGAGGGACACAGAGCCACTCAGACATCCAGAGAGACTTCCTGGAGAGATTCAGATTTCAGAGGAGGAAGTGAAGGCCAAAACAGCTGGCCAAGAAGAGATGAAAGATTGTTCCTGACCAGTTGGGCGTGAGATGGCTGAGGGGAGGGCCACAGGGGCCTGACAAGGGACATGACTGAGGGTGGGGCTGGGCTGTGGGCGTCACCGGGCGCACCAGGGACCCACACCGTGGGTCCTTCCACAAGCACCTCCTGCCCGCCCAACAGAGAACCAGCAGATTCCCCTTCAGGCAGGACCAAGTTCAAGTGCACTCTGAGAATGCCCCACCCCAGGAGGACCTCATTGCTACAAACTGTCTCCTTCTTGGCAATTCCCAGTCACTTTGGAATTGCATGTTGCTCTATATTGGGGGACCACTCTGCAAACAGCCCATCAGCCCCAAGGGTACATGGGAAAACCTGTGTTTCCATGTAATTGGCTTCCTCTGTATCCTCTGTATTTTATTTTATGCATCAAATATTATCTTGAGGGGAGCCTGGGTGGCTCAGTCAGTTAAGCGTCTGACTCTTGATTTCAGCTCAGGTCTTGATCTCAGGGTCTTGAGTTCAAGTCCTGTGTTGGACTCCATGCTGGGTGTGGAGCCTACTTAAAACAAGAAAAAATTACCTTGAAAGAAAATAAATAAATTTTAAAATTAAAAAAAACAAAAATTATCTTGAGGATAACCAGCAAGGGAGGCAATGGCACAAAAGGCCAAGAACCACTGACCAAGAGGGATGGGGTATGCAGAGACCACAGGCTGTGAGGGACAAGATGCACGAGTGGGATGTGCCTCATTCATTGGATGATACTGGATACTCGTTGGATTGGAGCCCTTCAGAACCTGATTCCAACCTCCCTTTTAAATTTATCATCCCACCTGCCCATCCCCTCAATCTTCATGAACCCAGTTTCCACCAAATTGGCCTTAATGACCCTCACATAGGTCTGGCGCCATCTCTTTTTGTCTTTGCTCATGTATCCGTTGATGTATTTATGTGTTATTTTATTGTCTTCTCTCTGCCAAGCACTGGACTAAGCACTAGGCACAGAAAAATGAATATGAAGATACCATCCCTGTCTTTACAAAATTTGTCCTTTATCTGCCAACAGAAATAGGCATTTCTGGGGCACCTGGCTGGCTCAGTCAATGGAGCATGCAACTCTTGATTTTGGGGTTGTGAGTTCAAGCCCCATGTTGGGTGTAGAGATTACTTAAAATTAAGTTTTTTTAAGTAGTCTCCACGCCCAGCATGGAGCCCAACATGGGGCTTGAACTCACAACCGCAAGATCAAGACCTGAGCGGAGACCAAGAGCCGGACACTGAACTGACTGAGCCACCCAGGCCCCTAAAAATAGCCTAATAAATATATATAAATATATATATTTTATATATACACATATATTATATACATATATATATAAACATATGTATATAAAGAAACTGGCATTTCTTTCTCTGTTCCATGTCCTGTTCGACCACAATATGTCCCATGCTGCCTTTTTCCTGACACCATTCCAGATTTGAGTTCCTTCTCCGATAATTCCTTGTTGGCATCCATCATAGGAGATTGGCAGGAAAGTCCTGACCACACTTGGTTATTAGATTTCTTAGGTTTTCATAATTAGGTTACACAACCTAATTTTCTGTTGTTAGGTTCTAATCATTAATCAGTATTAGGTTTTCATCTGTTTCATCCTGGCAATTGCAAAAGACAAAAGATTCTTTCCACACTGTCGCAGAAATTGCCTGATTTTTCAGGCTGTGCTTGAAGTCAGTAATTCCTGCTGCTGCATTTACACTCTTTTTCTTTAGGCTCTCCAACACCTCTGGACTCCACCTTCCCAGACTTGGGTCCCTGATTTCCTTAAGCCCTTCATACTGTCCTATGGTAGCAGCTGCTTAGGACCTAAAATTTTGCCTTCAATGAGCATTTCATTCTGGCGGACCACAAGAAATAACTCAGTCAGGTGTTTAACCCTCCACAGAGTAAAACCACAGCCTGCAAGAAAGTTCCCAAAACGTGTATCGTCTCTGCATTCAGCCCCAGTCTGGCCCTGTGATCAAGCCTGGTTACCCTCCCTCCATTTCCCTGTCCCAATTTCATTATCAGTCAGAATCTTCAGTTGCTGAAACAGAATCTAATTCTGACCTGAAGCAGAAAATAAACAGATTTATCAGTTAGCCCTCGGAATCAATGGAGAGACTGGAAAACCCCGGCTCAGAATTAGGTAGGAGAAACACAGGGGAAAACATCACACCACTGAACAAGTCCTGTAAACACACACCGCTGGCAACAGTAGGGACCAATGGCACCACCTCACTGGACGCGGGGCACCCCCACAGCTTGCAGCCCTGCTGCTCCCAGGACATGGCGGTTACAGCCGCCGCTGAGCTCCCCAGAAAGGGCCACCCGCTTTGCCGCCTTCTGTGCTTCACGACACCTGCCTCAGCGTCCAGGGCACCGGCGTCTGCTTGACTGAGCCCAAGCCGTGCACATCTGTTCCGTTGCAAGGAGGTTGCCAAAAGGGGAATCGGGCTACTTCTGACTCCAGGGTGGAAAGGCCTGGATTCCCCAAGCATAGGAAGGGGTGCAGGGAGGCAGGGGCGCCTGGGTGGCTCCGTCGGTTGAGCGTCCAACTCGTGGTTTCAGCTCAGGTCCTGATGTCAGGGTCCTGCGATCGAGCCCCATGTCCGGCTCCTTCCTCTCCCTCTGCCCCTCCCCCACTCACGTAAGTGTGCACGCGCTCGCTCTCAAATCAATAAATAAATCTTAAAAAAAAAAAAAA